TAGCTCCATTTTCATAGAAGCTCAACAATGGAAAGTGTCGTTTCTTACCAATTGACTCAAATTTTACGCGAGCAATATAGTAATCAGCATCATTTGGAATTGTATTTTGGAACCATTTAGGTTTTCCTCTAATATATCCATCGAGTTCAGCTTGCCCTGATGGATACAGAGATACAGCATCAAAATCTGCAAGCTTATGTTGTATATGGTGTTTCTCATTGTCTCGAGCCATAACACGACCACCAACAATTGCATCGCGAACGAATGCTAGAACGTTGCCATTCATTGCATAACAATAATCAAAGCAACCCTCATTATGTTGAATAGCATATGCTAATGAAGGCATTGACATAAAGCGATACACATCAATATTAAATCGATCAATAAACATTTTTCTAAACGCCTCAAAACAGTTTCGTAGAACATCAACATCTCTCTCACAATAGTGAATAGCATACTTTTCACAATCGAAATATTTATCATCACAAGCATTGATTTTAGTAGCATTAGCTATTAGTGTTTCTTTTTCCTCATAGTAATCTAATAGATCCATTGGCCAAAGTAGTAGATGATTATATTTGCAAACCAATTTATGTGGAAAGCACTCTTTTTCTAGTGCCATATCATTGCACGATGATTTAAACATTTCGGGCATATCTGCTAATTTACTAGCAATGAAACTCATAGTATCTTTAATAACAATCTCACGACCATAGAAAAATCCATGAGCCTGCTTTAATTTTGTTCCAGATTCAATCAGATTTGTATCATTTTTCCGATATGATAAATGTTTAAGGATAAATCGACAGTCAAAACCTGCATTGTGAGCCCAAAGTAGATTACGACTCTTTCTAGGTAAGTCATTTAAAAACTTTAATTCGCATCCAATTCCATAAAAGCTTTTTGTTTTACTAAATTGAATAGCATTGCTTTCAGTCTTACGTCCGATGCAATATGATACACAATAAGGAATATGTTCATTATTTTCAACCAGAGTTTCAAAATCAAAATAAATAACATTATATTCATTAACTTCAACAAATTTTCCTATTCCATTGTTATCTCTAGTGAACTGTTTAAAAGGAGCGCGACCAACATTCAAAGTAGTTTCATTCTTCTCTCCATTTGAATTTACTCTACCGATTCTTTTGAATCCACTTGCATCAAAATCAACTTCAGTTAAAGATTCAATCTTTTGATAGTTATTATTTAATAACTCGGGTACATTGGTTTGTGTAATTGGATCTAATAGTGTTTCACGATGATGATATAGATAACTGATTACCTCATAACTGTCAAGTAATTTAATGCGATTGGATTTAAAGTATGCCTTTCCAGTTTTTACTATAAAATCAGCTCGCTGATGTTGACTTACTAATGTAGGATTATCAAGAGCGGCTTTGGTAATTTGAGTTGGTTTGATGGCAAATAGATGTTGACCGACAGAACCTAATTGTATAAGATTTTCAGTTTTAACTCCGTAGACAGAAATGTTGTTATCAACTCTACCTGTATCACTCTTTGGATAGTATTGTTTCACTGAGATGTAAAGGTTGAATGCATTAGCTGTCTTGCGAATGAAATCAACAGTAGCACCTGAATTAAACATTGTTTGTGAGATACTTTTTACGATTGTTTCATCAACACCAGCTTGAGTTAGAGCGAATAGAAAGCAAGGTGTTTCTCTTTGCTCTTTATATGAATTTTCTTCTACAATAGTCATTTTAAACCTATCTTCCCAATCATCATAATAAACTTGAAAATCATTTAAATTGTAATTTGCTTTAGTTAGATAACGAAAGAAATTCTTTCTCTCAGATCGAGAGTGCTTTGGATTGTTTAACCATTCGATTTCAACTGTTGATGTTGGAATAATGTCTAATTCAATATCAGCCCCGGAACTATATTGATTCTCTTCAGTGATATATAGATTATCAATATTAATTAGTCGATCTTGTAGATGATATGTTTTCAAAACGGATCCATTCTCACCTTTAAAATGCAGTAAAAGTTTCTTATCGGCTGGAGCTACAATGTCTTTGCGGATACGCTCGAAACGATTCAATTGCATTTCAACTTTACCTGTTGTTTTATTGATAGCTTTTAGACTAGCTGTGTCATTGTTTAGCTTAACCTTACGGAGTGTCTTCACAATTGTTTTTACTTTGGTTTGTTTGAATGTATTGACAACCTTCTCCATATTGGAGGTTGTCATTTTCCAATTAACATCTAGGTTGTGGGACTTAGCGAACTTATAGAGATCGCTGCGGGTCTTTTGAGCCTTCTTTAGATTATTTGAGACTGGCATTTTGAAATTTTTTATATATACTAAGTAAAACGTAATTCAAGATGACAATGTCTTTGTATATATTGTGATTGACATTGTTTGTAAGCAAAAAAAATATTATTAGTCAGTAGTTTGGTTGATTAGTTTTTTAGCTAAATATTTCTGTTTCCTCTCTTCTCGATGTGTTTGATCATACTCTTTTTGCTTCTGTAGGATTTTCTCTCGGTTCTTTTGATAGTAGCGCTTCTTTGCTGCGATTATTGATTCCTTGTTCTTCTGATAAAGTTCTTGAGTGTAAACCATTTTGTTATCTTGTTATCTTGTTATCTTGTTATACTATATAGAAAGATAATTCAGGATAACAATTTAATTAATTTACGATTGAATGACTTTGCATTTATTGCAACTTTCCGAATTTTCTGACAGGGGGTACCCTTGATGCTTTTGAGTAAAACTAATGATACTCTCAGAGCGTCTGATAGGTTCGATTGAAGGCTCTGGGTGGTTTGTGTGCTTTAGTGTTTTCTACCCATCGATACCATAGGATGGGGCTTGTCAAAATTCGATTTTTTATTTTTTTTCTGTTTCTAATAGTGTAGGGATGGGGGTCAATGAGTGTGTATGGAGAGTGGTTAGGTTTTGGTGCAAATGTCGCTTTATCA